AAACCCTTGAGTCTAAACTTGATGGAACCTACACTCAGGTGCTGAGAGCTATACTTAACATCTCTTAGAGACAGCATGAATTTAAGTCAAAGCTCTATGAACCCATCCCTGATATTTCTACAAACTTATGGGAACGCAGAGTGCGATTAGCAGGACGAGCATAATATGCTGCTGGCGCGCATCATAATGATATACTGCTCTGGACACATAGACATGGCGCAAGATGGGTTGGTCGCCCAGCAACTGCCTACATTGATTTTCTGACGCTTGATGCAGGAACATGATGGTTGGCACGATAGACTCATGAACGTCCGAATTAGCTCGACCGAATAAAATAAAATAAAAATTATATTGTTTTACACTTGCCTGGTTTGGCATTAAGATGTATGTTTTTATTAGATTGCACTGGTTTGTAATTATAGCGGTTTTAACAGGAGTGTCTTCCATACTTGTTGCATTTATTAGCATATATTAGAATTATGGACTGCTTATAGCGAAATATGATTGCTGTTTTGTTAGACTAGCGAGCTGGCGTCCGTTTGTATTGAGGTCATTGTGTTAGTACTAACGAGCTGGTATGCTAGCTTATATAGAATGTACTTAAAATGTTAACCTGTCGAGGGGGCTTAAAATATGCCGATTGTAGCCTCTGCAGTGGGGTAAGACCCTATTCAAACGTGGCCATTTCTCGGGTGTATGCCTGCAGTTTCAAATATAAGTCTATCCAATGTTTGCCTATAGACACAAATGTAAACCAGACTTGGGTTTATCCATAGATTATTTTTAGTATAAAAAGTGTAATCAAATATATTTATTATTATGATATGATATATATCTGTTATTATTATACAGTGTAACCCGGATATAAGAGACCCGGATATAAGAGAGATTTTCTCTGGTCCCAAATTAGAGCCTGTGTTAATGTATATAAATTAGACCAAACCCGGATATAAGAGAAACCCGGATATAAGAGAAATTTTCCCCAAATTAGGCCTGTGTTATATATAATTAGACCAAACCCGGATATAAGAGAAAACCCGGATTTAAGAGAGATTTCTCTGGTCCCAAATTAGAGCCTGTGTTAATGTATATAAATAGAAAACCCGGATATAAGAGAAACCAGAAAATTAGAGCCTGTGTTAATGTATATATAATAGACCAAACCCGGATATAAGAGAAACCCGGATATAAGAGAGATTTTCTCTGGTCCCAAATTAGAGCCTGTGTTATATATAAATTAGACCAAACCCGATATAAGAGAAAACCGGATATAAGCATTTTCTCTGAAATTAGAGCCTGTGTTATATGTTATTATTCTGTTTGTCCTTTTTTCCCGACAACTTCTTATATCCGGGTTAACATGTATTATTACGTTCTGTCATCAACAATGTTACGTCTGTCATCAACAATGAGCCAGTTGTTTGTTGATTGCAAGGATAGAAGAAAAGTTTCTATTTGTTTTTAGTAAAAAAAGTAAAAAAAAAAAAAAATGAATTACAAAATAAAAATAAACAAACAAAAACAAGAAGTTGTTATAAGATTAATATAATTTAATGTGGCATTGACATGTATATATATATATATATATATATATATATATATATATATATATATATGTGTGTGTGTGTGTGTATTTAGGCAGCGATCCTTCTTTCATCCACAAAATTTTATCCATAAAAGAATACCCGCTCGGCCCGGTGGCTAGGATCAAAGTGTAGTATCTGCGCTTTGTGAGCTGCCAGGTCGGGTGTCTGTCGAACTCTTTGCTTGCAGAGAGGAACCCGGACGAAGCTCTGCCGAAGGGTGGGGTTTCGTTGGGGGAGGTTGACGGAACTAGCCCGCTTGGACGGGTTTAGATGGGTTTTATTTTTTGGCTAGGCCTACAGGCTCAGACATACCCACATTAAAAAGGCCTTGTGCCACATTCGATCCCCGTGGGTGGATTGATAAACACCATCCTTCTTTCATCCACATTTCATTGAATACGACAGACAAGGAGCATTGATTTAGTTTTTTATACAATTTCTCATGCAATCTAATATTTTTTTCTTTTCAAATGATAAATTATAGAAAAACTGTCCGAATGTACGTTTTATCCGAACGCTTTCGGTTACATATTTAGCCATTTTCACGGATTAAATATCTTAACTGTTAAATAAGAAATAGTTTGTTGCATGTATATATTTATATAATGTTTTCATTTTTCAAAACACTGTCAAGATATTGTGTCCATGTTCATAGTTATCATTATTAAGTGTTGTTTTTTTTTTTTTTTTATTAATAAGGCTTCCATTTTTTTAGCCTTTTTTTGCATGTAGATGATGCTATTATAGTTGCACTGTCAACAAGAATGTTACAAATAGTCTCCGGTAGGTCACCATGAATATTTAAATGAGATCTAATTGAGCTATGGTCAGAAAGGTGTAGAGTGAGTCTGCGTGTCAAACATATTGTAGTGTGGCCTATATAATTATTTACGAATTTTGATTGATCACGAATACAATTCCTTAATGGGCATTTAAATTCGTAAATAAAATTTGCCCTATTTAATTTTGTTCTAAGAGGTGAATTATTATTTTTAACTATAAGGTTAGAGGTTTTAATTTTTTGTACTAAATAATTAATCTAATTTTTTTTGCTATTGTCAACTGGTGTTGTTCATTTTCTTATAATGTTCTTACATATAGGTACGATGAGAACAAATAGAGTACAATTCCAACGTTTATAACATTTCATTTAAAAGAGGGCTTAATACAGAGTAGAGCGTTATAATTTATTTTAGGATATTACACAGAAAACATGTAATATTGCTACACAATTGCAGTAGTTCTTTAACGTCTCATCAGGCGAATGGTAAACAAATGTTTAACTAAATCTCTTGTTTATCTTTGCAATTGTGTAGCAATTTTACATGTTTCAGTGTAATATCTTAATATATATATATATATATATATATATATATATATATATATATATATATATATAGAGAGAGAGAGAGAGAGAGAGAGAGAAAAAAAAAAAAAATTATCTGTATATAGGGATAGTCTATTTCAAGCCAGTCTGTACGCAGCTATCACCAGCCCCTAAATGTCTTTCTCGGAGCATTGTTTTAAATTTTATTTTCAATGTCAGTCCTCTGGTAGACGCTTTGTTAATGAGAAGGGGCCTGTGTTAACGAATGGTGGAGGACGCAAGAAGGCGTTTGCTGTAAAAAAAATACATTTGCTCTGTTATAATAAATAAATCGAGCTTTCTGTGGATCAGTTTTAATAATTAATATTTCCAGTATCCTCCCGGATGATATAACAACGGATGGATTACCTGTACTATATATATATGTTTGTGTGTGTGTGTATTTAAAATATGTATATTAGGCAACATATCTTCATTCAAAGATGTTTCATTGAACAATAAAAAGATTTTGAGTCTATTTATTTTAAAACTGATCCTTTCCAGTTTTCTCATAATTTTCTTGTTGTTAAGATGAAATTCATCAAGGAGGGCGCCGGAGTATTTTTAAATCCAAGTACTTTCGACCTTTTCCAAGGTAAATTACAAAGACACACTTATTGTAACTGAGATAACGTCAGCATTCTGTTGTGATGGTGAGTTTCGAAAATACGCATGAATAGAGTTTGTCTAATGATTGCGAAAGCGTGAAACCCAGAGTAACAAACTCATATCCATAAAAAAGAATATGTTAGCTTTATCATTGATATTGAGAGCTTTTCACTTACTGTACATACAAAATAATATATATATATCTATCTATCTCTCTCTCTCTCTATATATATATATATATATATATATATATATATAAATATATAAATTAATTGATTTAAAATATGGTTTTTTTCGCTACACAGTTCCAACCATGTTTCAAAAATAGAAGTTAAAAACCCCGAATTTAATTTTGCAATTAAATTAAAAGCATTAGTTCCATTTCATCTTCAGGCGAATTTTGGAGTAAATTTTGGAGTAAATAAAAAAAAAAAAAAAAATAAAAATAAAAATATCTATAAGAACACCGGATTTTATATCCTACTGTTCTTTCTTTATATTTATATATATATATATATATATATATATATATATATATATATTATAAAAAAGTAGTAGATTATTTATTTATTAATCCGACAGATTTTTCAGCCTACGAAACTGGGTAGCTATAAATTTCGTGAAGTCTATGATGAGAAGAATTTCACTTAACTCAAAAACATGTTAAAAATCGATACACGATTACAATCACGTTTCAACACCACAAATATGTATCCTCGCGCGTTGTCAAACCACTGCCGAGAGAAAGATTAATTAAATTTGAAGAGCAGAATACTTTTTAATAAAATCTGTTCATACTCACGAATAACCTCCCGTGTATTGAAGTTAAAGGATGAGAGAAATGTGCTATAGCTGTTTAAATATCTTTTGTTTTCATTTCCTAAGTACTTTCGATCTTCTTCCAATATCATCTTCAGGGATGCAAGTATTTGGGAAATGAAAATAAAATAAATTTAAACAGCTATAGCACATATCTCTCATCCTTTAACTTCAATTCACGGAAGGTTATTCGTGAGTATGAACGGATTTTATTAAAAATTACCAGACATAATGTGTATAATTTATTCAATCAGACAATCAAGAGAATTTGCTGCCTAAATACACAAATTTATATATATATATATATATATATATATATATATATATATATATATATATATATATATATATATATGTCTACTCTGTATTGAGCCATCTTTTAAATTAAATGTTCCGCACAGTGGAATTATACTCCATTTGTTCTCATTTTACACACACACACACACACACACACACACACACACACACACACACACACACACACACACACACACACACACACACACATTTAACTTCATGAAGTATTGAAAAGAAAGAAAGAAACAAACAAAAACGCTTCTCACTGGCGCCATTTTTATCCTCGGATTCCATTTGCCAATGTATTTTACAGAAACCGCGAAATGCTTTTATCCCGACCAAAGTCTACAATGCAAATGGCTATAGTGCGGTCATTATTACGAGGGGAGGCTGTTGACGATGATTCATTTGAAAGCTCACGCGATAGACGCAGGTAAGTAACAATCTGTATTTGTTTTTATGTAATCATTGCCTCGGTTTAGCTTGATCGGCCACTTAGTGAGAGACGAACTCTGTCACTTGCTCATTGTTTGCAATGCTGTCCTTCAAATAAACTTGGACTGTATTATACTGTAAATATCGATAAATATCCTCTTATTCATATGAAAGGTAAAACCAGAAAGAAAAACAAGATCGTACTGCACCAGTTTTCTAAATGGGAGGATAGCTATTAAATTGTAGCTCATCTCACTTTTCATATTCCGAAATTTTCCTGTTTCTTAATACTTTGCTTAGTTTCTGGAAGTCAACTTCCCATTTTCGTATGTACTTTTGGGTGTCTCTGTCATCTGTTTCTAAACTAAAGAAATATTTAAATTTCGATAATTACTGTAATTCCCCACGTATAATACGCCTTCAGACATAATACGCCCACTTAAAATTGTGCTGAAAGTGTGGGAAAATGCTTCTACTCATGCATAATACGCACCACTTGTTTGGCAATCAATCCCTATAAATTATACCTCTCCAAAACTCATTACGGACAACGTTTACTACTCTTATTTATAAAAAATGGTTTAAAACATAGAATAATATTCTAATTTAGTTTTATGATAATTCATATTTTATTTTATGGCAATTTTTTAATGAGTTTTGTAGCTGTGCATAATACGCACCCCTAATTTTGATTATTATTTTTTAGAAAAAAAAAACGCGTATTATACATGGAGAATTACGGTACTTAATTTTTAGCCCCAATACATAGCTAACACCTTAGGCTGTCTCTTTTGCTGGGTACAAGCAGTCTGTCTTCTCAGAGTCAATATCGACTTTGTCTAAAATATTTTTTTTCAGTTTTCCTTCTGAATGCGCCATCTAATAGTGCCATCAGTATGTTTTATACTGTTATAATTATACTCACCAATAATAAATTTTGGCAAGTCTTCTAGTGCTTTTTGGATTTGACTTGTGCCAGACATGAATGAATTTGACCAACAAAAGAAAATAAATTGATCAAAAGAAAAAAAATACATAATTCTAAAGTATACTCGCTTAATGCTGCCTTCGGTGACTTTCGCCCAATAATTAGTAATTTTCTGTTTTGTAAAAAATAAATTTCACCCAATACAAGGCTCAAGAGCCACTCAAGCTAGAAAGTTGCTGAACGAAGAGTGTGATATGAACGTAAAAGAAAGAAGTTATGATTACGAGGATATGGCGGATGTATAACGATTGACTCTAGACTTGAAGAGGTTAAAATTGAAGAGATTAAGTGTTCGAGGAAGCATCCACGCAGGAGTCTTTCCCACTAGATAGCGGTTCTTGAGAAGAATCTCACAAAGTGGGATGCCCTTCTTGCCAATGGAATACGTACTAATGAGGTTGATTCAACCATGTGGACGTAGCAAGGCAAGTCTTGGTAATTTTCTGGTCTTCCTCCTTCACCCTTATGTTCTCACCTGTAGACGCTGATGTTGTATTTGCTGCCTATTATTTATTCCGAAAGTTACGCTATTGAAGGTAGAGAAGGAGAACGAGAAGAAGGGGCTAAGAATAAGATACAAGAAAACAGAATGCATGGTCATCAGCAAAAAGATGAGCCCGAAAAGCGATTCACAGGTCGGGGACACTAAAATCAAGCAGGTGCGGAAATTTAAATATGTGGGAAGTGTTCTGACAGAGGATGGTAAGTGCGACGCTGAGATACGAAGACGTGTTGGGATGATTCAAAGACGCCTTCCAAAAGCTAGGCAGAATATTACAAGACGGGAGGATTTCCTTGGTAACAGAATAATGAACTGCTACATAATATCTGTCCTCCTTTTCGGCAGAGAATGTTGGACGGTCTCCTCAAAGATAAGGAAGAGACTCGAGGCAACGGAGGTATGATTCTACAGAAGGACGCTAAGGATATCATGGACCAAACATGTGAGCCACAATGAGGTTTTGGAGATTACAACACAAACGAAATGAATTGTTAGTATAAGGTGAAACATATGTGCGAGATTGTCACGGGAGGGCCAAAATCTATATAAAATATATATAAAAGCAAAAAATTAGTCTTCAAATTCATCTCTCAAAATTTTAAATTTTGAGAGTAAAAACTATTTTTTTTAAGCTGAAAAAGTTATACAGTTCCTCGCAAACAAAGTTCATACGAAAAGTTTGTTTTATTACAACACAAACGAAATGAATTGTTAGTATAAGGTGAAACATATGTGCGAGATTGTCACGGGAGAGCCAAAATCTACGTTATGTGCGTGTAGCGTCAGCAAGCTTGATATATTTGGGAAAGATATTAGAATAATCAAGAACCTATACTGGCAGCAAACGGCCTGTATAAGGCAAAGATGTGTCTTCTCACCGGACATATTCAACCTATACAACGAGGCAATTCTGAGAGAATTGGAAATCCTACCGGGATTCATCATTGGCGGTCACAATCTTGACAACATAAAATACACCGATGACAGAGAGCTGATAGCAGACACGGAAAGGAAATTACAAAACCTCCGACAGAAGTTAGGGAAGGAGAGCGAGAAAAGACCAAGTATAAACTACAAGAAGACAGAATGCATAGTTATCAATAAAAACAAAAAATGAGGCCAAAATGCTATTCATAGGTCGGGGACACTAAAATCAAGCAGGTGCTGTAATTTAAATATCTGGGAAGTATTCTGACAGAGGATGATAAGTGCGACGCTGAGATACGAAGACGTGTTGGAATGGTCAAAGAGGCATTGCAAAAGCTCGGCAGAGTATCACGCGACATTTCGTTGGTATCAAAGAAAAGAGTTCTGAACTGTTGTGATATTTGTCCTACTTTATGGCAGCGACTGTTGGACAGTCTCCTCAAACACGTGACAACAGAGGTATGGTTCTACAGAAGGATGCTAAGGATACCGTGGACCTAATGAAGTTTTGGAGAGGATGAAAACAAAGAGGAAACTTATACTTAACGCGAGGAAGAGGCAGCTAAATTTTTTGACACATAATGAGACAGGAAGGTTTGGAATATCTGATACTCACAGGGCGGATGGAGAGAAAGACGAACAAAGGAAAGCAACATACTTAACGGGCTGAAGCAAGTGGATGACAGAACAAGGCCTGGAAGAAATAACAAAAAGACAAAACTTATTGAGAGCTATAAGGGACAGGAGGAGATGGAGAGCCATGTTCGCCTACGTTCTGAAGGGACACGGCACATAAAAAAAAACGCTTGTAAGAAAGACAAAAGACAGCAAGTCTTTAACAGCAGCAGCAGTCAAACATTATAGGCAGCAGCATCAATCAGCAGGCAAGCTAGGTTTATGGTTCCAAGTTCACCACAGAGAATTGTTCTATGGGATACTAGCCTAGTGGATGTTAGTCTGTGAATTTTCGCTGGTTCGCCGGGTAGTGTGTACTTGGCAAGCAATAACTGAGCAGTACTAAAAATAAGAACTAAACGAGATATGCCTAGACATGGGCATTGGAACGAGATCTGTCTGACCCGTTAGATTAAATAAAGAATTCAAATCAGAATCCCGTGTTGGTTGCTCAGATCTAATAACGGACAGAGAGTGCAACGGTCGAAACGTTTTCATAAAAAAACCCAACAATGATGAGAACGACAGTCTGAATATAAATAATCTAAATAATGAAATATATATTTGCAGTTTTTCAATGATATATTTCATTGTTATTTTAATAACACTGTATGTACCCCCACCACCTTAAAATAAATACGATAAACTACATCCGACTAGCAAGGCCGCTGATCGGGAGATTGAAAGTTTTGAGAAGCGTTGTTCCTAGGTCCACCCTAACCCGGGGTGGTAGCATCTGCTAGGGTCCCATCTATGCGTAAATAGTGATGCCCTAAACAAAAACAAAGCAATATGAAAAATAAATGAAACTTATAAAAATTCTAAAAAAAAAGAAGTGCGTAATAAACGACTATACGCCAATATTTGACGGTTTTAGTTATTTAAATACGGAGCCCTATTCATTTAAATTATTTAAACATTGCCTTAATTCGGCATAATCTATCTTCGTATACGATAGGTGTCGCCACAGACTTTCTATAAAAGCGCATTATACAAAATTTATATTAAAAACACCAGCAATACATCTTTTATATAAAAGATGACCAACAATAGATATTTATAATAAAATGAATAATAATTCATTTTTTAAAAGCTGAATGACCAGACATGCATTTTATCGTACAATTACTAACAATACATTCCATTTGTAGTTTGACGCCATACAACTGGTTCAAAATATATTTAGTTGAAGCTATAGAATTGTGTTCAAAATCTTGAGATATTGGCATTATATAATCTATAGATGTTGATATGACGCTAAACGAAATCAACCAACCAAATAAAATAATAATGAAGGCAATATAACAGTAAAATAATAATAATAATAATAATAATAAATTGTTCTCACGAGTACAGTCCACACCTTAGCTTTATCTATGTAAAATAAGTATGTGTGTGCTTCTTTCTTTAATTGGTCAGTGGAAAATGACATGATATTATTTCTAACCTTAGGTCTCTGGGCGGAACCCGGAAAGAAATGTGTACACACAAGAAATCACATGAATAATAATAATAATAATAATAATAATAATAATAACGGGCGCAGAAATACAAGTAAAGCACAGTACACCGGCTGAAGCTGCAAAATACTTAAAAAAAAAAGAAAGCAAAGACAAATGCAACAGACCAGATACAGAAACAATGGCAAGATAAACCGCTTCATGGCCAATACTCTGTCCGTACTAAACAAGCTGACGTAGACAAAACCCGCACCCATCAGTGGCTACGTAGTGCAGGGTTGAAAGCTGAAACTGGAGGTTTTATCCTTGCTTCACAGGACCGATGCTTGTTAACTAGAAATTATCAAGCACATGTACTAAAATATTGTGTTAGCCCAAAATGCAGATTCTGTGATAAATATCCAGAAACAATCGATCATCTTGTATCAGGTTGTACGATATTGGCACCCGGCATGACAGAGTAGGTCAATATTTGCACTGGAAAATTTGCAACTTCTACGGGAAGGAAACTGAAAGAAAATGTTATGAACACCACCCAGACCCGGTTACGGAGATAGGACCTGTTACAATTCTATGGGACTATACAATACACACTGACAGAACAATCAAAGCTAACCGCCCAGACATTGTTATTAGAGACCACAGACAAAAACAGTGCCTCCTTATTGATATAGCAGTCCCTGCAGACTGAAATGTATCTTTGAAGATATTCAAAAAGCTGTCAAAATAGAAGGACCTTGAAATCGAAATCTTAAAAATGTGGCACATGGGAACATCAGCAATCCCTGTTGTAGTTGGAGCCTTAGGATTGGTTGGAAAAAATTCCAGTAGACTAATTGAAGGGATTCCTGGAAGCCCATGCCTCAAAGAAATACAAAAAATTGTTCTCACAAGTACAGCCCACACTTTATGAAGGCCTTTATCTATGTAAAATATGTATATTCTTTTTTGTCTGTGGAAAGTGTCATGATGCCATTTCTAACCTTAGGTCTCTGGGCGTGACCCGAAAAGAAATGTGAACACGCCAGAAATCAAAGTAAATATTAATAATAATAATAATAATGGTATTTGTATTTATATTGTTTTGCACATGCGCGGTTAAATGCATTTATTAGGTTGCACTGTATTGTTCTTATAACGATTTTTAGCTGGTGTACTTCCAGTACTAATTGCATTTATTGCAGCAGTGATTAGCATATATTGGAATTATGGAGTGTTTATAGCGATAGTACGGATTTGTGATTATTGCTAATTTGTTAAGCGTCCGTTTGCAGTGACGTCAATGTGTTAAGACTAATGTGCAGTTATGCTAGCATACATAAAATGTACTTCTCGTTAAAACATTTTTCAGTCAACGAGGCCTGGAATACGCCGATTGTATCCCTTGCTGTGAACCTCATGAAAAGGGGCCACTTTCCGTGTGGATACCTGCAGTTTCAAATATATAAATCCGACCAATGTTTACCTACAGGCACAAATAAAAACCTGGCCCAGGTTTACCCATAGATTATTTTTATTAGAAAAATGTATAATCAATTATAAAATCGATAATATTCTTGTGCTATGGTCTATTTGAGTAAAATGTTGTTGACGCCCATTAAGGGCAAGTTATCGGTGATTAACAAATATCAATTAAAACGTATGCAATTGTAAAAATTCTAAAAGGGGGCGTAATAAACGACTATACGCTAATATTTTACGGTTTTAGTTATTTAAATACGGAGCCCTATTCATTTATTTAAATTATGTAAACATTGCCTTTATTCGGCATAATCTATCTTCGTATACGATAGGTGTCGCCACAGACTTTTTATAAAAGCGCATTATACAAAATTTAAATGCCTTCTTTGAACTTAACTTTCGATTCTAAATGAAAGATAATGGCCTAAAGCTAATCCTGATAAATAAAAAAAATTTCCCGTTTAATGAACTTTTCAGGCATTTTGAAAACATTGACACGTTTTCTTCGTCACTCATCGATCCATCATTGTCTACTGTAATAAAATGTAAACAACAAATTTAAAATTCTCTTTAAAATGTAATATTTGTTCTATAAATGTCTATCGAAGTCTGTTAGTAAATTTAAGACAATTGGATTTTCTAAAAGTAATGCTTACCTTTTAAACTTAAAACAGAATGAAATTGACGTTGTTTTAATTGATTTTAAAAAAAAATGGAGTTACATATTTGAATGTATTTATCATTTAATTTAATTTATAACTGATTCGCTTAAAAATCTAGTCGATTCATGTTTAAATTTATACGAATTTAATTTACTAGCAAGCGCCATATTGCCTATGTTGTTTTTCAGGGTGAAGATTGACAGGATGATGATAAGTTTGCCCTTGCATTCTGAAACAATATCTTCCTCTACCAGGTGTGACATTTATCTTTGCACCAAAGGACTCAAATTAAGATGCACTGCTGAAGTTGCGGCTATTTTGCCTGGATTTGACCAAACTATAATAGTGAAAAAATAATTTACTCTGTGTAACAGCAAAATTGTCCAAATCGTGTAACAGCAAAATTGTCCAATTGTTAGATTAAACTTTGAACTGTTGTATCTTAGAAATGATTAAAGATATCTTACTGGAATTCTCCGAGGATTTTTTTTGTAACACTATTAGACTCTATTATGAACAAAAAGAATGTATTTAGTTCTAAGTTCAAATAATGATCCATCTTGCTGTTGTGATCTCCTGATCCAATTTTCCTCTCTACTTTTTCCTTTTTTAAAACTTCCTTAGGCTCTTCGAGGCGGTGTAGTGGTTAGCAAGCTTGTCTCGCTAGAGTAGTGATTTCGATCCACACTGGGTTCCCCATACCTTCGGTCTTGTGCTGCCTCTAAGCTACGCTTGGAAAATCCCTATTCACTGTTTTCTTGATGGTTCTTGAATGAGCTTTGAAGATGGAAGTCAGAGTATGAATGTTGATACCATTACTGAAAGCCTGAATGATCTTTTTCCTCTCACCATTGCTCAGTTGGAAATCCACTGTGGGGCTGGCACAAAACGATTTTAACACGTTCTCTTTCTTGCTAAATAACTCAAAGGGTTTTTCTTACGACAAACGGTGTCAAGATGGCTCCATGTCTTATTTGAAAACCTGGAAAAAAAGAAACTCAATTAGTTTATCAGATTTTTAGATGTTAAAAATTTTGTGGGATGGACAATTATCCTATACTCTTAGACGATTTGTACAATTTTGCTGTTACACCCGGCATATGTACAAACATTTTCACGACTAATTTTTTTTTTTTTTAAGCATTACGCCCCAAGCAAGGCGTGAAGCCACTAGGATGCAGGGGGTTGCGGAAGATTTGGAGCGAGAGCAGATAGGAGAAAGGATGAGGAGAAGGATAGTGGGTAGATCAAGGTAACTGGAGATGTCGATTGACATTACATTTGAATAGTTGGAGATTATAGCCCTCAGGGAAGCAGTAACTGGGGAGGGTGTTCCACTGGCGAGAGGTGCGAGGTATGAAGCTATTGGAGTAGAAGAGGCGGCTACATTTGAAAGTTTCTACGGTGTAAGGGTGGGAGCGGGATGCCAGCCTCGTAGGGCGCTTGAATTCATGGAGTCTGGGAACCAGTGAAAGCAGCTCGTCAGAGCAGTTACCATGGAAGTATTTTAGAAAAGACAGAGAGAGGCGACGGTGCGTCTGTGAGAGAGTGACTGCAGACGAGACGCTAGATCAGGGCCAATTAGATTACATATCCGTTGAAATGATATTGGCAATTCCTTGCCTATTTTTTAATTTTCTCCCTTCTTAAATTTAACGAAGTCCAGTCAGGTCTGTTATATTCACTTACGTGTAAATACTCTTGGTGAAGGCATAAATCGATCTCTTCTCCTACACTTTGGTTGAATAGCAGGACAAACTGGGTTCTATAGCCTTGGTTGGCAACCAGTCTACCGTAGAAAGAAATGGCAACCCACTGCGGGAAAATATTCTGCCTAGTCAGTAATGGATCGAAAGAAACATGATCGCCCAAGGATGTATCACGTATGACACTTAACTGAGTAACTGAATGATTATCTTAAATTTTTTTTAAAAGCAACGCCGTCGCCATCTTCTGTCATTTTAGCTTCTGTTCTTTTATTGTCCTTTTTCTTACTAAAAGTCTTCTAATTCTTTTTCCCCTCCAGGAACCCCTTGCGTCCTAGTTGGCATAATCAACTTGTTTGGGATGAATTGATTTTTAAAAATCCTTATTTAGGGAAGTGTAAATGAATCTATTTTTTTTTTATTACTTTTACCCATCTAAGTTATATAGTTACATTTAAGAATGCTAACAAGTCATCAGACAAATCCTCTAATTTCAATAATATCTTCTTTTTTTATCACCCCAGGAATCTGCCGCGTACATCGAAAAGGACACAGAATATGAACCGAAAGGAATGCTGTCCGTCAGTTTCGGAGAAAATCGCTCCGCTTGGAGGAATCTCTCGCCGAGGGAAACTGCTGCAGTTGTTTCGTGACGAAGACACCGTACAGAGGTTCTACCAGTCCCGTTGTTCGTCGGGCGTCGCAAATAGACCGTGCCAGTACATCGATAGGGAGTATACATCGAAATGTGTCCAACTGTACACGTATATGTATGCCATTGTAAAGTACCACAACGTCTCAGAACCTTACAGGCTTGATTACATCCGCGTCAAATCAGGATGCTCATGCCAAATTCTCACGTAAAATGGAACTGACACAAATCCCACAGTGAAGATATCTTTCTTTCTTTCTTTATGATCTTCCCTTCCTTCCTTCCTTCCTTCCTTCCTTCCTTCCTTCCTTCCTTCCTTTGTCTTTCCTCCGTCTCCTTTGCAAAGCATTTCTGAAGATACTTTATATCTACCAAAGTGTACTAATAACTACCGGTGTATACATGTCTGTAAGTACAAAGGCTTCTATATGTACTAAAATATATGAGTATATCATTTCGATTTCCCATTCTTATTTCTTTCGGTCATTTTAATGTCCTTCCTCCGACGGAAACAGCGCATCAATATTTATATTTGACCAAAAGGCTAATATGAAGGGGATTATTTTAACAGTTGGTTCTTTGAAAGAAATGATGTTTATCTCTCCTTCTCAATTTCTTTCTTTCTTTCTTTCTTTCTTTCTTTCTTTCTTTCTTTCCAGATCTATCTATCTATCTATCTATCTATCTATCTATCTATTAGGTTGGTGCAAAAATAATGACGTAACAATGTTTTTTGACGTATTTTTTAACGTCAAAAAACGACATTATTACGTCATTATTTTTGCACCAACCTAATATCTATCTATCTATCTCTAAAGAAGTAATGGATTTTTTATTTAATAATACGACAGATTTTTATCACTTTTAACCTTATTTTTAGTGGATACCCATATTTAAGTAGACGCTCCATTTATTTTAAACAGTATATTTATTATCGCCTATTGGTCTGAATAGTCAAGAAATCTTATCAAAGAAAAAGATTCTCTCTCCAGCAGGATTCGATCCGGTTTCTCCTTCAAAGAGGGATGCAGGTTCAAATCCTGCCGGAGGGCGCATTTTTTTTTTAAAGCAATTTCTCGAATATTCAGGCCGATAGACGGCAATAAATATACTTTTTAAAATAAACGGAGCGACGGATCAAACATGGGTATTCAATATATATGCATACATACATACATACATACATATATATATATATATATATATATATATATATATATATATATATATATTCTTCTATATATATATTATCTCAATGCTTATCCGAGTTTCTATCTGTCTATTCACCAACCTCTATCTGTTCATTATCTATCTATCTATCTATCTATCTATCTATCTATCTATCTTTCTGATTAGAATTTCTTACTCAGACTTTAAAGAGTTGATTCTTTCTTCTGTCCTTCATTCCTTTCTACCCGTTCTATTCAACCAACGTCCATAGATACCTCTCTATTTTTCTGAATAGTTTGGTACCTAACAAGTTATGTTCGTACATCCCTCCCGCACACTTAAATTGAAGGAAAAATAAATAAAAAAAGAAGGTAATAATCTTGAACAAAAAATCAATGTATAAAAGCAAAAACAAGACAAGTACGAATTTTTTGTGACATTTTCCTTATTATCTTCCGTTCTTGGCACAGAAGAAAATTTACAACAAAAGACAATAAAAAAAAAAAGAAAAGAAAATGGAGACGCATATTAAAGTATCAGAAATTCAATATTTCAAATTCTAAAACTGATTTCACTCAAGAAATAATTGATAGAAAAGCAACAAATCTCTTTTATTCTACTTTTTTTTTTTTCGTGCTTAATTTTTTTTGTTTTCGGAACTTTCAGAGGTAAATTTGTACTGAATTTCGATTGTACTGTTTTGGAACTACCATTGACAGAATCTTCGAGGTATCAAGACGCAGAATAGCTCATTAGACAGATTGGTCCCAAATCCATTGAACATCTTACAGTTCTTTGGAAGTGATAGCAGTAAAGCAGAAAACCGAAGGAAAGTAAGAAAATAAAAATAACACCAGCAACGGCCACATCAGCATCAGCAACACATCAGTCAGAAGAATTAAACATCAAACTCAGTAAGAAAAACAAAGATGATAAAGACAGAGAAGCGAAGACTGTAACGCGCCAATATTTATCTGTTGAGAAATTTTAAAAAGTCTAAATAAAAAATGAAGAAATAGCATATATTTTTCTTATTATGATATTTTTCATCGAGAAATTGTTGAAAGACTTTGTAAATTTCAAAACATGAAAAATCAACTTTTTACTCGTCTTAGCTTATTATTTGAACCATTTTCATAATGCATTTTTTTTTACTATTTTTAATTTATTAACTGTTATTTGTTTTATTTTTTTTTTTTTTAGTAAATTACATTTTTTTTTACATTTTCTACAATCATTAAGCTGATGTGAAATAGAGTTCATACCCCCAACGAGATTTGAATTCGTATCAGTTATGCTTAGGAGCCTGTTTCACATGCACAGAAAATTCAAATTTAGAGATCTAACTATTTATCAGATTTTTTTTCTAATGATTGTAAATTTTGATGTAGAGAATGTTACAGAATGCGGAGTTTGGGTCAGGATGGCGAGCGATTATTCAGAACAGTCGTGAACGTGGAATTCTGGCAGGGATGGATAACCTGTCAAAGTTTTGGATATAAGACGAAAGCGGCACGAAATCTGTAGCGGGCCGCAAAAAGTTTGAAGCGTCGACACGTAATCCGCACCCAGATTCCCCAGAGAGACTAGGCCGCACGTGGTGGATTGCTAAAACAACGAGTGGGCATGTGCTCCCCTAAAGTTCTTCCTCCTGATATAATAGAACGAATAAAAAAAAAGAAGTCGTCTTATCTGACACACTCTGTGAAGTGGCGTTGGGGTCTAAAGGGCTGAAGCAAGAGGAACTTAGATTACGCCTTCCCACAGGTTGGAATACCCTCCCCCGCAGTGCCATTCGATTCCCGTGTGAAGGATAGGGACACGGCCTCTCTACGCGAGGTGATGCTGCTGTGATTTCACGTAAGTTTTTACGAGTTAGTGTTACGAGCCTGACACACACCCAGTTTTGTATTCAGGGTTGTTCTTCTAGACTGGTTGTTAACCAAGGCTGCAGAGATCTGTCTGATTTGCAATTTCGAATTTTATTTTTAAGCTGGAAGAAGAAAAGGTTATTTGTGCAAAAGGGAACGGACCTGAACTCGGTACGCCGATTTCACTTTCTACGCTGATAACCGCTACGCTAGCGGCTCAATGATGAGCAACTCCTTTTGAAAATCAATCTCAGATCCCTGATCAGTCAAAAAACAAAATCTCTGAAAATCAATAACTGATCTTATTATTCGGATCATTATCTGATGACGTCTTTTTCTCACTATCAGTCAGTCAACATCTGTGTTATTTTAGCGATCATAACGAATGTAGTTAAGAAAATTTGCTTAGTCTGACATAAGGCCACGTTTTATAAAGCAGAGATGGCCAAATTTGCTTAGTGTACGGTCACAGAGAATAAGCTTCAGATGCTTCCGGAATCGGCTTGACGGGTTCAAATTCTGGTCTGGTTCGTTGCATTCACATTGGCAAAAGTAACTTTGGTAAAATATGAATCTATATTTTCTCCTTCAAGCTATGGATTAAATAGCAGGTTAACTGAGCTCTCTAGTCTTGGTGGGCAAGGACAATGAAAACTTTGAATTAAAAACCGTGAGGCTTGTGACTCCGCCCTATAAATACTTACTTTCAGCGGAAACCATAGAGCTAGCATCTAACGTGATGAGGGTGTGGCCCTGTTCTCCCAAGGAAAGTCTCATGGTGGGGATGAAACATTTTTATAGCAAGTAATCAAATATTAACAAATATATGTACGTAATATCGTTTATACATTCATGTAGATTATTATTTTGTTGGTAGGAATCACAAAGTAGCAGTATATGAAGTTCTGCTGAGAAAAATTCTCGACCTAACAGCCTTGTTAAAATCTGACCAAATGATCAAATATTACAGTTTTGGCGGAACGAGCTTCTTGTGTATATATAATGTGGTATATGGGAACCTCGATGTCGTGTAATGGTTAGAAAGCTTCTCCTGCTAGATCAATTATGACTGAGTAGTGAGTTCAATCCTCACTGGGTGTTCCATACTTTCGGCCTTGTGCCACATCTAAGCCTTGCTTAGAAAATCACCATAAACACTGGGTACCTCGGCGTGGTGTAACGGTTAGCAAGTTTGTCTCGTTAGGACTGAAAAGTGAGTTCGATCCTCACTAGGTGTCCCATACTTTCGGCCTTGTGCCACATCTAAGCTACGCTTAGAAAATAACTATATAATGTGGTATAATGTTTCTAATAAACAGAGTAGTTGGAATAAAAAGGGTTGCTGGAATTTTTTAAAAAAAAAAACAATGAAAACGTTTTGTCCAAGAATACTTACAATCAGAATTAAAGAGTAGGAAAAATGTCCTGAATATTTACAAAAGTTCGTGTTTGGAATAAGAATGTCTCAGGCGGATTTTCCCAAGAAAGAATAATTATCCCAGTTTGTCTATTTGAATATCACAGTTTCGTAAACAAAGGAAATTCGGCAAACATGAGCTTTTGTGCCCGAACCCCACCAAAAAAACAAAACAAAACAAAAAACAGACAATGAAAAGGACAGTTTTTCCATTGTCACCGCAATTATTTTAACTACCTTCACTCCTAGGCAAAGTTTTTTGTTTTAAAAAGTGATGATCGTATTGCAATAAAAACCTAAACAAATGATGAAAGTGTATTGATACATTTTCTTTGTTCTTGAGAATTGACAACAAAAATAATAAACACTATAATTGTTTCTTTACACTATTTATTTGTCATATTGTTTACTGGAATGGTTGGCAAAACATCGGCTAAGTACAAAAGGATTTGAACTTTATAAAATGGTAAATAATAAGGATTTCCTTAGAATTGGCTCATATATTCTAACTTAGTAAATTTTTATAAATTTATGAATAACAGTTGTTTTCATATTTATTTCTTTATAAATTGGTAAATGATAAATTTTGCATTGCATTAGTGTTAATTGTATTAGTTTTTAAATGTTGTAAATATAAAATTATTTTTGTAAATAACCAATCTAATAAATAAATAGTGTTTAATATTCTTGTTGCAAATTCTTAAAGACAAAGCAAAACTATAAATTCATTTTCATTATGTTTAGGTTTTTTATTAAAATTCTAATCGTCGCTTTTTAAAACAATAAACATTGCCGAGAAGTGAAGGTAGTTAAAATAATAGCTGTGTCAATGGAAAATCTTTCCTTTTGATATTTGTTTTTTTTTTTTTTTTTTTTTGCGGGCACGAGGGTCCACGTTTACCGAAAATTCGAATTTTTGAAGATCTTAGTTGACAGGAAAGCAGAAAGTCAGAAGAGAGTTACACAAGCGAGTAGTGTGAAAGAAAAAAATCTATTAGCATAGTACAGCTAGCTATATCAACAGTGAAATTATGAGACCTAACTGCCAATCTAGTACTGCGCTTAAATTCGTAAAGTCGAGGTGACAAAGAGGAAATCGCGTCGGAAAAATTGCCTTGAATATATTTATGCAAAAAGCATTGGGAATTTACGCTATGACGGTGGGAGGTAACTAAAGTCGAGATATCAGTTAGGGGCCGATAAGTTTGCAGATTCCTGAAGAATTTTGAAGAATCTCTCGATATAAAATAAAAGCACCAGGCGATATGTGACAGCAATATTCAAAGTTTAATGTGTTAACGACTACTTCGTTAATATTTACGGTGTTTAGCTTACTGCGCAGAGCTAGATGGGGAAAAACATTTTGGAAGTATAACGAAGATTAAAGAAGCCCAGAAAATCAGAATTCAAAACTCAATCTTTAATCTGAATTCGAACACCGACCAATGATGCCAAAGAAAAATACGTAACTATTGATCCATAAAATAGAGTAAGTTTAGTCTGGCATGATTCAACTTTTTGTGGAGTAACCAGGGTCGCTTTGTTTATTATACAAACGCGTAGAAGTACAAACTATTATGCGACGATGAAAAGTTCTCGGTCCAACCAAGGAGTAATTACGAAGAATATTTTGATGTTTGATCATTCTGGACAAATTTGGTAAAAGTAAGTTGAGGTGGAAACTTTTTTTTTTTACCCACGAGTATCTTTAAGGATACACAAGGAGAAAATAATGCCAAGTAAGAAAATGGAAAAATGCTGTTTACATTCTGGACCATCGCAGAATTGGTGCCGGCAGATCATGAAAAAAATGTTGTTTTTTTTTTTCTTCGTTCCTACTTCTTCGGTTATTGTTTTGAATTAACGTGAAAAGACAAATGCAATGGCTTCTTTTTCTCTTAAAGGTTCTGTTTTGATTTCTTATTCAGCTTCCGTCTAACGCGTCGTAATTGACTTGTGCAATTTCAGCCCCATAAAGTTTTG